CGTACTTCCCAGTAATCTTGGGGGGGGGAGACAGTTTACAGCTGTCTACACAGAAGGGTAGGTGCACCGAAGGTGGAGTGGTTCATCTGGCATGACTAACCTAGCCGACAGAACACAGAATGCTTTTGCACCTTGACCCGAGTATTACCTGCGTTTAAGGTAACTCTTCCACATACACTAGCAGCTCAACTCCTTGTAAGAATCTTAGAATTCTTCAGGCTTCACAACGGAACGTGCAATACCTCACCTGTAACACAGTTTTATTGAAAACAAACCAACCAACCCTGGTAGCTCGGCTCAGTTTTTCCAATAATGCGTGCGCATTAGGACACATCAGTACTAATGTTGGCTAAACTGAAAAATGGTACAAGATAAGATCTGGAACAGCTGCAAAATGGTAAAACAAGATGTTTTGTTACAACAAAATTGGAAATTCAAAATCATCTATTTCATTTTTTCTGTCAAACTGTTCACTATTTAACACAAACTGAAAAGCTAGTCTGTCTCCCAAACCCTAATATTAATCTCAGACTTCTTCCTTCTCCCCACACTCAGCTGAGGACATAAAAAAATAACAGCCTGTACCTTCCCTTTTTATTTTTTCTTTAATGCCAACGAGGAAACAAAATGTATGACTAGACTACTTTTTTTTTTTCTGGATGAAGTCTCCAAAGTTTAATCTAGTGCCTTCAGGTTCATATGCATTCCATAGAACTCAAGGCATATGACGTCAGGACTGTAGTGGCCTTACCCCTCCTTTCTAGCCAATGGAAAAAAGAAGTTAGCAATGCAGTGCTGAAGGGCTTCTCTCCCAGTGAGAAACCTAAAGTTAAGAGGGGGCAAATTCTGATGTAGCAGGACTCTCCTGCAACAGCTGTAGCTACACAAGAGTTGTTTGTACTTTTGCAAACAGTACTAGCTCCACTAAGAAATGCTGGTAAGAGGAGCAACTAAAATACTTAGCTTCAGACATTAATTTACATTAGAGCTTTCAGCAAGTCATCTCTCTCAGCTGTTATTCTGTAGAAGGGATATATGTTTAGATACAATTTTCTAAACAGCTAGTCGAGCCACTGCATGATCAGCAAGGCTCGTGTAGCCTGCTCTCCGTAGGAGTCCTCCGCCTCCCACGCAACCTCAGCTGCTTCCTGCAGGCCCCCACTCTCCCCCAACCTTCCAAGAACACGTCCCCCTCCCTTCTCTTCTCACTGCTGTCCCCACGCTACTGATTTGGGGTTGCTTGGTTTGGAGCTGCGTCCATCCCGATCCACCAGCGTGGTAACAGCCGAGCCTTTTTTCAGTCCAAGAACAAATCTGGATGTTTCTCAGAGGAGTTACTGGCAGCACGAGGCTTACTAGTTTTAACATACATTTTTGTAAGGCAACAGCGTCAAAGAATTTTTAGATATACCAAAATCCCACAGTCTAGCTTGGTAATGAAATGAAACTTCCCTTTAGGGAAGCTGCCAGCTGTAGTTAAGACACATTACAAAAAGACTTAATTCTAAACCTTTTTTAATTAGGTATTGACCTTTATATAGTGACCAAAACTAGTATTAGTCTTCCCAGAGTCAGAGGTATTTAGCTGCATAGAAATAAGGTCAAGACGCTATTTTAAGTTAAGCAATGCCACTCTCCCAGGCCCTTATTTAGACATACTTCTCTACAAAAAAAGAATTGTTGCGTCTTCATTTACTTTGACATGAGCTATTAGACAGTAACTGCCAAAGAAAAATGTTACTGTCTTGCAAACAACTCCACTGTAGTTTTTCTGTGTCTTACTCTTCAAGTGTTACACGATACCAGACATCTTCATGATTAAAAAAAAAGACAATACAGTACATAGTTTCAACAGCCAGTATGCAAGTAGCACCTAAATATGTAGCATACAGAAGTCAATTCAAGCATAAACAATTCATGGGCTCTTTTTATTTCAGTAAAACTAAAGCTTACAGATTCTTAACTCATACCCATTCAGAAAGACACCCAGAAAAATCTGTATTAATAGAAACTGACAGGCTTCCAGGCCTCTAAAATATTTCAAAGAGAAGATACAATAAAAGATATCAAAAGTTTATGTTACAGTCTTGCTGCCTCACACACCATCATAAAAAGTGAACAGACACATTCAGTAACTTCAAGCATACCATTAAAAAGACACCAGTAAGTGCTCCAGTTTTCTGTACCATACAACTTTATTTCAAATTCACATCTTTCTAGACAATGTATCCAAAATATTTGACTCAAGAGTACCTTTAGACTGTAAATATTCTGAAACAGGGCATCAAGCCTTTCCTATCTCCAAAAAAACTTTAAGTTTTAGCTCACGTTATAAAAAGTAACCGTGTGGAATGTGACAAGTCATAATGTGAAATCAAAGTGCTTTAGTCCCGTAGCGCAGACAGACACTAGTGGTTATCTAGCCATTCATCAGTACATCTCAAACACCAACAGAGATGTCTGCTCTGTTGCATCCCCCCTTGCAAAGGCCTTTGGACCATTACGGTGAAATTTCACTAACAGAGAGCTAAACAGTATGAGTGGACCAACAGTTTCACTTTGATACTTCAAATAACGAGTTATAAATGAGGCATCTTTTTAGCATTTTTCAAGTTCCCCTAGTAATTACCAGAGTCCTACTGTATTATGCAAGATTAAAACTATGTTCCAGTTAGTCTTTTAACATCCAAAGTGTGCTGTATTCCAAATCCCAAAGCATCAACACTCCCACATGATTTCCCTGGACCCCAACAGCTATCTAAGACTCAGCATTTTTGTGCAATCCTTTGCTATTTGCATGTGAAGAGATAAACACCTCACCCAACAGTTCGCATGAAAGAACTAGAAAGTCTCAAATCAGAAAGTTACTTTAATAAGATTTGGACACAGGTAGTTGCATGGAATATGTGCTGAATTCAGAAGCGGCCATGCAGAAGAGAGCTCATGTTGCAAGTGTTCAGCCAGGAAACTTCCTTTCTACAGAAGTCTGAAAAGCTATTCATCTTCCAGGGTGAAGGAAGCTGAAGACTTAGGCATTTAATTCTCTTCTCCGTTACAAAAGAATTAGCTCTACAGTATAATTCCTATGATTATTCCCCTCCTCTTTCAGAAGACACCCTGTTTTTGTACAAGTTTACAGCTTAAACGGGAAGGGCTGAGGGAAAATTTCTGGTCCTGTCCCACAGATGTAAAGACAAAGTGCTTTGCAAGACTGATTTTATCCATCACATTTGTGGCAACCAACCCAAAATGAAGGCACGTGAAATCTATAATGTTATAGCTTATAAATTAAAAACTAAAGCTGAATCTCTGTATATTTTCTAGTCTTTTTGCACAGAAGTCATGACCAGCACCTATGCAAAGATTACATTTTCTTTCACGTAACTATTCCCAGAAATAGTTAAGTGTTGATTGCATGCCGATGCAAATACTGACATGTATTAGGCTTTGACACAAAGTGCAGAGATTGGTAGTTTATCTGCACAGGAAGTCTGAAGCCAATGAATCGCCAGCATTCCATTCCCCTGTCGTGACAAGAAACGTAAGCCACCAGCAACAGCTACAGAGAGCTGTTACCTTGGAAGTGCACAACTCCCAGCAGCAGCTTCCCTGTGCGGTGCTCGAGAGCTTGTGGCAGGCATTTAATCAGGGTCTCAAATTTGGATTTTAACATGTCAAAGCCTGTCTACTTTTGGTTAGTTACCGGCCAGACACGCACACACCTTCTGAGGAAGCCAACTCAAAACACGCTTTGACAAACGCTGCATTGAAATTGGCTGTACCTTAACTTCCAAGCATAGATGAGCTGCTACCTTGAGCAGCATTTGGGATCCAGGGTCAGCTCAATACCTCATTCTTAAGGAAAGCCGAGTCTAGGTTCAGATCTGCACCCTAATTTCACTGGAATTGCTACCTTTAAAGTAGAGAAACAAGATTCAAGGTTTCTGAAAGCTTTAGCAGACGGATAGACTTGTCAATCAGATTAGGACTTACTAGGCTGTTAACCAACAGTTCAAAGCCTTGGTTATTACTTCTCTAGAAATACAGGTTTAGAAGAACTCAAACACCATTGCCATCACTTATCTAGAATATGTCATTATACCGCTTTCACTCAGGGTGATATACAGGGATAGAGTTTCAGAGTTCCGGTTACTCACCTTGTAAGTGAATTCACACACTACTTTTTTACTTTCCACTTCCCCCCCCCCCCCCCATTTCTGCACAAAGTCAGTTGACGGGATTGGCACACAAGTGGCTAGCGAACACAAACCTGTAGCTATTACATTACAGGACCATATTAGAGTTTCATAAAGATTTCATGCAATGGTGTCTGTGCTCTTTTCTAAAAGAGAACGACTTCCACAGGTAACACGTACAACACAATTTTCTGATTTTAAATGCAGTGAGTTACACAAACAACATTGACAAAAATTGACCAGACTTAATAATAGGAACTGCGCTAGGTCTGGCACTTGAGAATTCACAGTGATTAAAACAAAATTGCTTTGCCTAAGACAAAAAATAAGATACCAGATATATAAAAAGACTCTTTTCTTCCATTACCTTGCATTAGTATTCCAACAGCAATAAGCAAGCTCAGTAGTACATCAGACAGCAGAGACTTCTGCATGTGGTTAACTTTATTCATAGTTTGCAGTGCGATGGATTTTTTTTTTTTTGTATATATATATATATTTGATGTCACATCAGGCAATTTTCACTGAATAAAGTCAACACAGGCTCAAGTCTCTGTTGGATTGAAGCTTGGATTCTGACAGGAAAATGTTATCTACCGTCTCATTTTGGGTACCCAACTCCACACTGTGCCAGGTGGTATTGCTGTTAGAGAGAAACTTGAAAGTGTATTTGCATATTACTGAGGTGTTCTTCTTACATAGCAAGTTGTTTGTGAGCAGTTTATAGTACCAGTTGATAATGTAAGAGTAGAGCATTTGCACTTTTCCTTCCCCCCACTCATCTCGCTAACCCTAGTAGCTTACCTAACACAGGTTTCTGATCCCAAAGCCCGCTTTTTGAGAGAAAGGAGCACAGCTTTTAAACACCCCAGCATTTCTCAATGCACCCGCTGCCTCTCACTTCAGCAGTGAGGGCCCTGCCGAAGCAGCTGCTCTCGGGAGCTGTAAGCCACCAGAGCCCCGTCGACCCCCTGGGCTCACTGACCCCCCCGAACTGAGAATTAAAGCAAGATACTCGGGACTCATCCGCCCAGAGTCCACGAGTGTAAACGAGCACCCACTCGGTACCTGCCTCACTACACCCTTGGGCACTCTGGTCCCTGCGCCCACCTCCCGGACCTCCTGCTCGCCAGCCTTATCCAAAGACATTGGACTTCGGCCTGAGCTTGAACGACGCTTTCAGGGATTTCTCTTCGTGCTCTTCCTCCTCGGCGTCACCACGAAAGGAGGGGGTGTTGTGGATGATCTGAGTCCTGAAGCGGATCTTATTAAGCCGAGGCTTCATCCGCCCGCTGCCGGAGGCTTTCCTGGTCATCTCCTTGCCCTTGCCTGGCACCGCGGCCCCTTCTGTGCCCTCAGCTTCCTCCCCGGTGCTGTGATGGTGGTGGTGGTGGTGGTGGTGATGGGACAGCCGGTAGTTCATGAGATGGGAGGGCAGCACCTTGGATAGCCTCCAGCGCCCGCTCCCGTTGCTGGCAGCCCCTTCCTCCTCCTCCTCCTCCTCCTCCTCCAGGGCCCCCACGAGGTTCCGCATCTCCCCAGACGTGCCCTGGTGCAGGTACTGCGCGGCTTTGCGCCCGCTGTAATCGCGGATGTCCACGTCGGCGTCGTAGGCTCCCACCAGCAGCTTCACCACCTCGGCGTGGCCGTGCATGGCGGCTATGTGCAGCGCCGTGTGCCCGCCGCTGGTGCGGGCGTTGATGTCCACGGGCACCCGGTGCCGCTGGGCGAAGTTGACCAGCGTGGCCAGCAGCTCCTGCCGCCCGTGCTTGGCGGCCCAGTGCAGCACCGTGAAGCCGGTGATGAAGTCCCGCTTGCAGAGCAACGCCGGCTCGCAGCTCAGCAGCCCCTCCAGGCTCTCCCACCGCCCGTCCGAGGCCGACAGCATCCAGGCGTGCTCCAGGGGGTCCAGGGCCACGGCGCCGGTGGTGCTCCCCTCCTCCTCGGCGGAGGACGAAGCCACCGAGGCGCTGTCCGAGTCGCGGCCGCGGGCCCCGCCGGGGAGGGCGCCGCGCTTCAGCTGGGGGGAGCCGCCCCGCGCCGCCTCCCGCAGGCTCCGGCGCCCGCCCCCCTGCGCCGCCGCCCCGGGGGCGCCCTCCGCCGCCCCCACCTCCTCCGCCGGGGGGGGCCGCGCCGGGCCCGCCGTTACCGCAGCCTCTTCGTTGCTGCCGCCTCCGCGCCCGGGCGGCGGCCCCCGCCGGGAGCCCCTCCGCCGGCCTCCGCCCGCCGCCGGGCTCGGACGGGGCGGCTCCCCCCGCCGCTCCGCGGGCTGAGGGCGGCCGCTGGCATCTTCGCCCGGCGGCGGCGGCGGCGCCTCGTCAGCGCTCGCCCGCGGCGAGGGCGGCGGGCTCGGCCGCTCCGCGCTGTCCCCCCCCGCCGCCTCCTCCGCGGGGGTCAGGGCGGCGGCGGCGGGGGGCTCCGGGGCGCAGTAGCGGCGGCGGAGGTGCACGTACTTGACGCCGGTGCCGGGCTCCTGGCGCACGGTGGCCACGGCGTTGACCAGCTCCTTGAAGCGGTGGCGGGCGGCGGCGCGGCGGCCGGGCTCCGGGGGGCTGAGCCAGTCCCGGAAATGCTCCAGCAGCTCCGCGTTGCGGGCCCGCCCGCCCCGCTCCGCCAGGAACCGCACCACCGACTCCTGCCGCAGCTCCGCCGGTTCCGCCATCACCGCCCCTGACCCATCGCGTCGCGTCGCCGCCGCTGCTGCCGCTGCTGCTGCTGCTGCGGGCGCGGCGGAGCCGCTGCTGCCCGAGCCCCTCCTCCCGGCGGCGGCATGCCCGGCAATCACTGCCGCGGCGGCGGCGGCGGCGCCTCCGCGCCACCCTCCGGCCCCAGCGGCAGCGCGGCGGCTGCTGCGGCCTCCCTCCCGCCCCACGCCTCCCCCCGCGTGGGGCCGCCGCGGCCCCGCCTCCGCCCGGGAGCGCCCCGTCACGGCGGCCGGTGGGCGCGCGGCTTCTCCCCTCAGCGGCGCCTCCCGCCCGCGCGTTTCCCGCTCCCTCCCCGCCTGGCGGGGCGATGGCCGCTCCCCACGCCGCTTCGCAGCCGGTGAGTCCCCTCCGCGGGGCGGGCGGGGAAGCCCCCGCCGACCGTTTAACGGCCGCGGTGAGCCGGTGGGCAGCCCCGGCGCTGGCGGTACCTGGTGGCGGGCTGAGGGGAAGGAGGCGGGGGTGGAGGTGCCGCGTGTACCGGGCTGAGGGGGGGCCGGGGGCTGCCCGCGGGTCGGTGCCGGGGCGGCGCGGGTTAGCGGGCGAACCGCAAGCCTTGGCGTGACGCTTCCTTCCCTCGAGTTGCCAGGCTTTCTGAAAAAAAAAAAAAAAAAAAAAAAAGAGAAAACTTGTGGTAAGATGTAGTTTTCAGGTGTCCGCCCTTCTTAGAGCTCCCGTAGCGTATTGAGTATTTCAGGTAAGAGATCGTAGCGCTGAATCTCGGCTGTTGAAGAAACACTTGTGCATAATGGCAAAGCTGTCAGCTTTATGCTTTTAAGGTGTGGAACCCACCCATCCACGAGCGCTGGAGCATTAGCTCTGTTTTTTAACAGTAAAAAACCGCGATTCATTTATGACTTGAGTTTTCAGCAGTGTTTTGCATCTCCGCAATGCAAAGCACAGAAGGGTTCTAGAAACAACGTGAAGTGGGAGGAATTTGGGGAAAAATCATCCACCCTGGCTGTGCAGTTAGCTGCTTTTGCATTTTCTGGTAGCGGGAGGGTGAAGTGCCTGTCTCTGGTGGTTCTTGGCTCATTCATGTCGCGGTGCTGCTACACCTCATCTGTGTGTGAAGCTGCCCCGTGAACTGGAAAAATGGAAGACAAACTGTTACTCTTTAGAAGTTTTCTTTCCTTGGAGTGATTGTCATCCGGGGCAGTGTCTTGCGCTGGTTCTCGACGGCACAGCCCGGGGGAGCAGCGTGGGAGCGGGGGCGCCAGGAGGAAGAGGGGCTGCTTTGAGTTGGGGTGCTGAAAGAGTTATTTGTTGGAGCATTGTTAGAGCCACCACAGGGCCTGACCACGTCCCGGCCAACCTCGGCCGAGGCTGAAAGGGCTTCATTCATGTTCCCCGCTTGCTCACAAGTTGACTGTTGAGCACAGCTTGCTTTCTTGTTGGGGCTCCCACCCAGACCTCCATTTTACACACACTCTCTTTAAGCCCTGTATGAATCTGTTGCAGTTGCAGTGTAACCCAGTGTAATGCGCTACCTTTATATAAGCTTTATCTCTTCGTACATATCATGTATACATAGTGAAGTGGAGAGTCGATACTTCACGGGCTGGGTCTCACGGGAAGCTGAAGAATGTTGAGAGAAAAAAACCTAAGAGCCAAAGTATGAGAATGCAAAATGATTTTGCTAGTGAGCGTGGAGAAATGCAGTAAAGAATCAAAATCGGCAAAGTGAGTGAGAGTGGGATTGAGGGTCCACTAAGCAGGTTGATTTCTCAAGGGAAGAGAGGGAAGCATGTACATGGAAAACTTTACAGAGAATACCGTAAAAACAGGCATATAACATAGCTCTGTAATGGAGGAAGGTGATTTTGTATTAGGTTTATAAATGTAAACGATGTAAATGTAATGGTGCAAAATATATTGACATCAAATAATATTTCCTGGTTTAACACATGCTGTATAATTGTTACAGTGTTTCCTGCTACATTCTGGGAGAGATTTTGAATTGTTTTGCAAAAGGAATGTAAAATTACTCTCAGAATGCAGTCTGACCTTCTTCTATAAATCTGTTTACAGTCAGACTGCACGAAGTCTGAGGTGCAAGTATTCAGTACTACTGATTTTTGAAAATTTGACTTCTGGGAAAGTTTTGGCAGCCATTGCCCCTGTACAGCAGCATACAGTACTCGTCATTGATTAATAAAAAGAAAAAAAAAAAAACCAAAAAACAAAATGCTTGTTGCAGTCAAAGAGGCCTTCTGATAGCAGCCACCACTGTCATGTCTGAGCCCAGCATTGCTTTCTCATTCGGACAAGGAACATCAACGACAAAGGGCTGATGTGGTCAAGGGTGAGGAAGACTGGCTTACTGCTCTTCAGGAAACACAGTGCTAAAGCTGCAGCAGGCATAGCTGAGCCAGGGCAGCCAGAGAGGCGCACACCTTCCCAAAGTCACTGCAGTTGTGATACCAGTGTGAGTACTTTTCTGTGTCACGGTCATCTCAGAGTGCTGCACCAGATTTCTGTTTCTTTGTTTTTCCTTCCATGAAAACACGCAGGTTGAGAGAGGCCTTTCTGCACAGACTACAGGTGCGCACGCTTTCTCCTTCTGCGTAGCAGCAGCTGATCAGTCAGTCCCATTTGAACCAGCACTGTCGTTGGCATCCTTTGCCTGGCGCATGGAGTACTAGCTGTGAGGAACTTGTTTCTTTTCCATTGTCAAGTCTTGGTTCCCCACCTGCTGCCTCTTGCTACATCTATCCATAGGCAGCAATGGAGGAACAGGCACTGCATGTGCTAGATTTTCCAGTTACTTAAATGCCTGCTGGTGAAGAGAGGCCATAATGGCATTTACAGATGAATACATTGCTGTCTGTAAAATCACCTCATCACAACTGGAGAGCTAGCAAAGTGTCTCTGCTTGTTTCTTTGTTCCTAAATACCTGTAAATACAGCCCAGAAGTTGTCTTTGGTAGCAACCTGCACATTGTGCCCCCTGTTCTCTAGGGACAAGGCTGTCACTTTTTATCTCCCTCTGCCCATCCTGGCTGATTTCAGGGCATTCAGGAAGATTCTGTCCTGCCTCAGATTTCTTCAGACAGAAATGTAGGGCAAAAATGTCACCTTTTTTTTTTTTTTTTTTTTTAAGGTTCTTTCTAAGGTCTTTCCATATATACATGTATGAAGGAAGGAAATCTTGTGGCAACGTATCATTTAAGGCAAATTCAGCTGTGTTGTGTGTTGAAGTGGGATAGAAAAGGAAAATAGTTGGTGCACCAGAATGCCATGTAAGAAGTCATTTGAAAGAGATGAGGGAAGAATCCTGGGCTTCTGGTGTTTGGACCAATCCCTAAAAGTTGTCTACTGGCTGAATAAATTACCTGACAACTGTGAGTGAGATTGTCATATGAGTTTTCATTGAATTGTCTTTTGGCCAATGCTTTTTTTTTTTTCTACACACCTTTTTGGGGGAAGGTTTTGTTCCATACTTCACTCCTGTGTGTTGCTTTTTATTTTATAGAATAGACTGATGCTTTAATTCCATATATTTTTTAATGTATCTCTTTTCTTTCTCTGCATCTTCATGGACTTTTATTTCTTTGTATTTTTTCTACCTCATCTTCCTATATTTTCTGTTCTTTTCTGTGTTATTTTGCCAGGGTTTCCTTTCTGTTCCCTCTACTAATCCCTTCTGTTCTTTGCCTCTCTCTCACACACACGTATCAACATTGAGAGATGTCAGTGGTATGCATTCCTACACCACACGTCTACATATTAGCTTTTGACTACCCACAAATGGAAAGTATTTTTCTACTCGCTTCCAAAATATCTTTAGTTCCTACTTACCTCATTTGTTAGGAGGCAATAGCAACGTTGATATTGACTGGATGTAACTTTTAAGAAAGTAATTGACTGTAAGAAAGTAATGCAATTTGTTATTGGAAGATTAAAATAGATTTTCTGGTTTAATGAATGTCCACACCTGTTCATGGTAGTGGAAAACTCTGAAAGAGTCACATCTGGAGCACCCGTGGGCGCATTAACACGTTGTCATTGGCTCTTGTGGCTGATGCCCAGGCAGCCTTCTGAGGGCCTCTGCGTAGCTGCCTGGGCCTGGCAGGGCCCTCGCCTCCTCCTGCCTGAGCACATGAACATTGATTACTTCTTTTCTTCAAGCTTTGGAGGGCAAATTTCAGTCATCTCTTCAAGCTAATTACTTGCCTGGATGCCAAGTCTGGTTCTGCAGGAGCTTTATGGAGAGAGATGCATGTAGTCTGAGACCTAGCTTTTGCTGTGGAATGGCCCAGTGCTGTGCAGTTTTAGTCTGAAATAGGTGGCAAATTTCAAAGATAACTAATTTTTCTTTAGTTTGTTTCTAAAAGAAAAAAAAAATGTTATTTTTGTCTCAGGTAATGATTTTTCTTTGTGCGCTGTTTTTAGTGGGCAAGATGACTTTATATAATCCAATATACTTGATAACTGAATTTGCAGAAATCCAGATGCAGTTCTGTGAAAGCTATGCTACCAACCCTTTAAAAAGGGGGAGAGGGAAGGAGTGAGGTGTGATTTGGACCATCTCAAGTGATCTGTATTGTGTGCTGTTTTGATGAGGGTATGAATTCCGAGAGAGCAGTGACAAGCAGTAAGTATGTACAAGAGTATTACAGCTCTTGTGGCATTCAGATTACAGGATCTGAGTTATCTACTGAATAAAAAACCCCCAAAACCCCAACATAAATAACTTCAACATGATGAAGTTGGATGAGATGCTGTCTTCAAGCATAATTTATCTGCTTCATCCAGTGGATACTAGTTTGAAAAGACTGGCTAATCTGGTGATTTAATTGCTTTCGGCATGATTTATATTTCCTAATTTTTGAGTTGTGACCATTTTTTCTAAACTGGTGATACGATCGTATCCTGTTTTTCAACTGGTTGAAGTATTATTTCTGTGAGAAGTAGTAAGAATGCAGACATCATGGGGTCAGTTTTGTGGATTTAATTTCTCTGTGTATTTGTTAGACCATAGCAGAGTGAAGCTGTGTGAGGGCTGGCATTGTGGTTGAGACTCGTGATGCCCTTGGAAAATTTCGGAAGGAAAAACATACTGCTTTTCTATTGAGAGAATGCTCCAAGTGATGTCAGATGGAGCAGGTTCACAAAGTGATTCTTGCAT